GAAAAGCACGTATCCACGATGAGCACCGAGCACCAAAAGCACGGATCGACGATGAGCGCGTGATCATGCACCAAAGAAAAGCACGGATCCACGATCAGCACGTGATCATGCACCAAAGCACGGATCCACGATCAGCACGTGACGAAAAGCACGTATCCAAGATGAGCACCGAGCACCAAAGAGCACAGTCACACAGAGAGAGAGAGAGAGAAGGAGGGGGGGCAGAGGGGGGGAGAATGGAAATTTGGTGAAAAATTGAAAATATATATATGCCCGCCGCCGCGAAGAGGAACAACAGAAACAAGAGGCCTAGAAAGTCCCTCTCCGCTAAGTCATTTGTCTCCTATTTATCTCATACTATCAGGGATTCGAACTCCTGACTTGCACCTAGTACAACTATAAAGACCGTGCATTCTATCACGTAGTACAACTATAAAGACCGTGCATTCTATAAAGAGGTCCATCATCGATGTATTTACCCCGAGAGTTGCACCTAGTACAACTATAAAGACCGTGCATTCTATGCGGGAGAATACGGTCAGCAGTCAAAAGAGACATGCCCGACCAAAATGGCGCAAGTTCTACCACGTACCGCCTTCCACCCGAAAAAAAAAACGTACGTTCATTTTATAGCGTTGTATTTGGGCCAACTTTCTGTCCACATTCGGAGTTAATTACCGTACGTGTTCTATTCGGGGGAAGACGGTAGTATCAAGAGATTACAAGCACTCGGCGGATCTTCCTTTTCCCCTTTTTGTGGCAAGGAGAAGGGAAGTGAGGAAAAGAAAACCATCGCGCCTGCCGTCTTTACCCGAATAGAACGCCCGGTCATTATAGCTGTGTGCATTCAGGGCAACTTTCAGTCCAGATGCAGCAGCTTTCATGACCGGGCGGCGTTCTATTCCTGTGAAGACGGTAGCGCACCTGGTACTCCCATGAACTATTGAAACTTCTGCCTTAGTTCGAATCCAGATGATGAAACTAGATGAGTGAAATCAATTTCTTTGCGGAAAAGAGAAGAGGGAGAGGGATGGTGCACCCATCAACTGTTGAAATACAGAGACCTACGTTCGAGTCCACATTATAAAACTAGTACAGTGAAATTGAAAATAAACATAAAAAAGAAAGGGAGAGAAAAGACAAGCCAAGGGAGAGGGACGGTACACCCATGAACCGTTGAATACAGACCTAAGTTCGAATGCAGATGATGAAACTAGATGAGTGAAATTTTAAAAAATTAAGGAAAAAAAAAACGAAGGGAGAGGGAGAGGGAGAGAAAGGTAAAATTAAGAAAAAAAAAGCGAAGGGAGAGGGAGAGGGAGGTAAAATTAAGAAAAAAAAGCGAAGTGAGAGGGAGAGGGAGGTAAAATTAAGAAAAAAAAAAGCAAAGGGAGAGGGAGGTAAAATTAAGAAAAGAAAAGCCAAGGGAGAGGGAGAGGGAGAGGGAGAGGGAGAGGGAGAGGGAGGTGGGATCGGGAAGTAGTGATCCATTCATGCACGTTGAGAACTGAGCTAATCGTCTTAGGGTATACTCACACTAGTACTTTCCTGAATGAATCTGACTGCAAATATGGCCAGATCAAGATGAATCTGACTACAATTACGGCCAGATCAAGAAGAATCTGACTGCAATCACGGCCAGAGATGCACGTCCATTTTGAGGTAAGAATTTACCTACAAGGTGTCGATTTGTCGGTCAGGTCAGATTCAGTCTCCGGAGTGACCGAAAAAGTACCACATGGGCAGAAGACATTCCTCCTGCGACTTCATGGAGTGACTCGGAGACTGAATCTGACCCCAAGTGCACGGTAAAAACGTTTTTAATCCCCCTCCCCAACCCTCTCTTAAAGGAGCCTTGGGACACGCAGACCCAGCTCAGGTGCACAGCACCTAGACTAATTCGTCCTCAGCATGTCATACATATTGTATGTATACATATATAGGTTCAGCCTCCTGATGAGTCAGTCCGTGGCACTCCGACGAAACAGTTTGTCACAGCCCCTCCCTCGTTTGTTGTCCTCTTCTCCCCCTCCGTCCCTCTTTGCCCCTACGGTTTTTACCGTACGCAGCTCTGTCTGACGATATCCCACGTGGCCGGCCTTGTTCGTAAGAGGTGATGAACAGGCGGAGCTTCGAAGGCCTTGTTCGTAAGAGGGGATGAACAGGCTTCACATGAATATCAGAGCGCAAAAGAGAAAAAAAAAACAAAAGGAAACAAAAAAGATATCAATTCATTTTTAATCTTCTTCCTTACAACTCCCCATGTTCAGAACCTCTTGCGTACAAGGCCGCCCACGTGGATGTAG